TAACTGTGGTCCCATCTGGAAAACTAGTTAGAAGAATGTCATTGCCCTTTAAATCCATATTTTCTCCTTTAGGAGGTTTGGGACAGTTTTGAGCTGTACATGGGAAAAGAAAAAAACAAAAAACATACAGACAAAAAAGAGAGAACATAATTTTAAGAACAGGGTAACCCAAGAAAAACACCATGCTGTGTTTACCGTGTCTCAAGCTAATCCGGACTGCACTCACCTTGAGCAGTAATTGCCAACAAGACAAGACTGCTCAGCAGAAGAATACCCATGACAGATCTGACAGGTTAACTAAAACCAAGAGCCCTTTCTGGTACAAAACAAAGGCAAACACAAGAAAGACAATCAGAGATATTACTTGGTCATGATAGCTGGTACTAACAAGGCTCTCCATTGAATCAGGTCTGTCACTGCTAACACATTAACTAGCGGAAGGTAGCAGGTGCAAACATTCGGTCTTCGGTAATGTTTATATATTTCGCTAAACCAAAACCTTAACAGTAACCAAGTTTAGGTTTTAAAAATGAAATATTTGAAAATACTGCCTCCCCTCTCCCTTTGTCGCGGCAGAAAACAAACCTAAAGTCTTTCCATATTATACAACTTGAAGGCCACGATAGCTTCGGCGGGCCGATCAACATTTGTTAAACTAAATGACAGGCAGGTACGGGGAAAAAAATGGCCGTGAATTCTCGCAGGTCACGTATGCTACTCTCGGTCTTCCTGGAGCCAAAGATACCGTGAGTGGTAACACAGCACATTAATAATCGCGTAATTTAGCTTACAGGGGGTTAAGAAGATGTCACTGAAAGATTAAAAAAATGTTGATTCCATTTGAATGTCTGCAATTTGGTCAAAATCCATAAACTGTTAAATCGCCTTCGGCTGCGTTAGCTAGCTAATTGTTAGCTAACTTAGCAGCAACGACGGATAAATACAATAATATAGCACTGTTATGGGGTCGACGCTTTGTTTTTGTTTTTCCGGTTGTTACGGACGGTTAAAACAAACGACACCATACCTTACGTCTGAACGCCAACAATGATGACCGCTAACAGTCCTGCTCTGAAAGGTTATTTCGGGTTTCTCCTTGTTTTAATGTGGGCTGCGTCTCCTTCTCGGAAGTAGGCGCGGTCAAACAGTGACGTGCTTGTTCTTCATAAGTCTTAGCCTAGATTACAGCTCGCGTACTTTATAACATAATAATGAAATAAACGAAAGAAACAAAGCTCTTAAGTTTGTGTGGATTCACATAAAACGAGTGTAGTACTTGTAGTGCTACCAATAAGCCAAATGAGGGTTGTTGTACTTCCATCCATTTTACTTAGTAAATGTAGCACCAGGAAGAAAAACTAAATTAGTTGAAACCGCTGTATTTCTGAAATTAGTCTGTATGCTATAACCGTTTTTTTGTTTTTTGTTCTGTCTTTTCTGAACATAATACGCACAAGTTTATGAGCCCCACCCACCATAAACCCAACACTTCCTTATTACTCTGTTGTTCCATACTTCACATAAATATGCAGTTTTCCCTTCTTAAAGCAGTATTAATAGGACACAGCACGAGACCTGTATATAAAAAGACACATACACCTTTAAGACAATATGAAAGTGTAGGCTGTTCTTTACTGTCCTTGAAAAGCTTTGGCCCTCTTTTGTAAGCCATGCATACTACTTGTGACATACTTGTGAAAACATTTTGTGTTGTAAATTACAGTGCCCAATACATTCAAACAGGGTGACGCATTACAAAACAGGGCGGACTGAATCAATGTGAGGAAATAAACTTCCTGCTGTACTTTGGTCTGTTTATTCACCATTCACAATTCCTGCTTTTTCCAAATGTTTTTCCAAACATTCCTTTAAATGACATCAACCACATTTGAAAAAAAAATACAAAAACTTCAGAGGATTATTTTATTTATTTATTTAAATTTGTTTTTACATTTACAACAACCTACAGAAGAGAAAGTGCAACTTGTAATAAACTGTCTGGAATCAAATGTATTTAAATACAAACTTTAATCATAAGTGTAAATGGACATTTAAACTTACAAATTAACTTAATACTTTAAATGTGTCTTTCACATGTCAGGTCATTTTTGTATGACCTCCACATGACCCCTGTTCACAATTACTTGGCAAGCACGCAGAGATTCAAATTTATTTAATGGATTTATACTGAAGTTTAAAACTGAGACTTAAAAAAGAGTGATTTCATATTAACATGAAACCAGGTGATTATAAGCAAAAAGAAATGTTCAAAAACTTGTGGAAACTGTTTATCAAATTGTATTTTCTAAACATAAAAGTGAACATTATATGATCATTCACATGCAGCAATGTGAAATCAAATTAAAACAAAATATGATGACTTTTGTGACACTCCACGTAGCCAAACCTTTTATATCATATTGTATATCTGGGTACACGGGCCTTTCTTAACTTATCCAGATCTTCCCTGAAATAAGACCACAGACAGGAGGAGACCATTATTCAGTCATATCGAATCACAGGATTTTCACATTCACAGAATGGAAATTACTAGAATTGTCCAAAATTATCTCTATATTATGCTAGCAACCTCCTGAGGTATTTAATACAAATTTTAACAACAATGGAGAAGTGAAGCTACATATACTTAAGCAATTTTAATTCATAACATGCGTATACATTAAGGAAGTCCAGGTGACCAGTAACGTTTTTATGTCACGGTAAGGTTTGCATTGATTATGTATCCAGGTTCACACTTTAACATTGCTGACGACAACTATATCTTCAGAGGTTAAAAATCCTCATTCTATTCATCATTTGGACTCTTCATATTCAACTTGTGGGAAACAAAAAGGAAACTGTATATCAATACAGTTATCCAAAATGACCTTATCTATCATTAACCAGGAGACTGGTCCAATTGAGGCTATAAAGGCAAAGTTGGAATTTAAAAATACATATTAAATTCACATACACATTGTAGTAATTGCACACCTTTAATACCAAATCATCTACAGAGAAAATTAAATGATATGATTAGATATGCCTAGAGAGGCACGTCAGTTTTAGCTATATATATTTAATTTTGTGTAATATACTGAGATAATTATAATTAGAGCTATTTGTATTTATTAGAGCAATTTTGTTATATTTTATAACCTTGTAATATGCTGTATTATTTCACTTAGTTTAGTTAGTTACTGTACTTAGAGTCTTGGAGCAACTTTGACCACATAATTTCTGCTTTGAAAACAATGTTTAAGCCAAACCTGATGTTTGCTTATAAATAAAAAGAATGGTTCCTGGTGTCGTCCCTACAGTGAGAAAAACAGTTTTTAATTCAAAGCTAGCACTGGACATGCACTCAAAAAACGCTGAGTAATGATCTATGTAAATATGGTAAAAATCTTCTGTTGTCAGTTCTTTAATTTAATGCTGTAATTCAATAAGTGTCTTTACATTACTGAAATATAATGATGTAAGAAATCAAATATTAGCTGCCACGATCCATATATTCATGCTCATAGTAGAGGTAAAGTGCCATTCACCAATACTCTCCACTTTTTGCTGAAAATCACTGGCCAGGACCCCTTAATCTTCATTTACCTGCCTTTTTTGCACTTTTCATAAATATGCAGCAGGAGGGCTTAGGCTCAGAATTGGGGTTGAAGTTGCACTTAGAGCAAAGAGATGATCCGATTGAACTCAGTACATGCAAATAGATATTTTAATTTAACTTACGAATACACTGAGGAAGTCCAGGCCACCACTGACTATTTAGCCCACACATCACAGTAGCGGATCCAATCATTGTGTATCCAGCGTTACACTGTAATGTGACTGTAGACGAGTATCCATATGGAGGTCGAGCACCGCTACTCAACTGTCCAAATGAAATCTCTGGATCTCCACATTCAACCTCTGCAGGGAAAGAAAGTAGACATTGGTGCAGTTGTCAAAAATGACCTTTTCCACAGTATGTATTGGCCTAATTTATACTACACAAGAAAAAACAAAATAAGTTATTGAAAATAACTCAAGACACTTACTGATACATTTTGGAGGCTCAGGCTTGAATGTTCCATCATCCGAACAATGCAACTGTCTTGATCCATTACGTGTATAGCCGCTTTTACAGGTGTACACTATAGTGTCTTTATAGTCATAGACTTCTCTATTTGGACTGAAAGAGCCATCCTGTACTACAGGGGGTGATTCACATTGTGTCACTGGAAAATAAAAATACAAATCTATCAGAATGAAAACAAGCAGTGAGCTTTTAAGCAGGGGTGTGACTTGTATTACGACAAGACAACCAACCTTCACATACAGGCAACCTGCCCATCCACCCTTGGGTTCCACAAGTGAGCTTTCCTCCACCAACTGGCATATGACTGATTCGAGGGGAAAAAGGTTAGTTTAGAAATTTTATTTCACATGACACACAACAGCATTTTTTTTGTTTTTTTTAAGACATTCAATTGCAACATTTTAGTGATTTAATATGCTACTACTAAATTCAATCTAAAAACTAATTATCTAAACACTGTTTATTAGAGCTAACATTGTATTACTAACCCAATGTCACAAATGAGCACTGCTGTATCACCAAATTCAGTCCCAGGACGATATTCAATGTGTCCATTTTCAACTTCCCCCACAGGGCCACAGTTCTTCCCTGAAACAAGAAAAAGAAGGTTATATTGGAACTTGTTTTTATAACATTATGTGTAATCTCAACAAATATAGTCTACTATTTATGTAACATGTTTATGTGCTTAAACTGGCTGTGAAATGCAGCTGCAATAAGGAATTTGAATATCAAATCAAGTTTTAATATTCACGTTGGCATTTCAACCCCAGAGAGCTCCAACTTCCAGCAGTACAAGTAATACGTGGGGACCCTCCTGCAGACTCATATCCAGTATTACAGGCAAAAGTAACTGTGGTCCCATCTGGAAAACTAGTTAGAAGAATGTCATTGCCCTTTAAATCCATATTTTCTCCTTTAGGAGGTCTGGAACAGTTTTGAGCTGTACATGGAAAAAGAAAGAGAGAAAGAAAAAAGATACAGACAAAAAAGAGAACATAATTTTAAGACGAAACACCATGCTGTGTTTCTCAAGCTAATCCACTCACCTTGAGCAGTAATTGCCAAAAAGCCAAGACTGCTCAGCAGAAGGACTGCAGTAATAGCCATGACAGGATCTGACAGGTTTAACTAAAACCAAGAGCCCTTTCTGGTACAAAACAAAGGCAAACACAAGAAAGATAATTAGAGATATTACTTGGTCATGACGGCTGGTACTAACAAAGGTTTTCCATTCAAGAAGATCTGTCACTGATGACACGATGGCGCGTTCAACATATATGTTGAACTAAATGGCAATTAGGTACGGAAAATGTCTGGGAATTCTCGTAGGTCACGTATGCTACTATCAGTCTTCCTTGATCCAAAGATACCATGGGTGGTAAAAACAAACAAAAAAACAACCATAAATAATAATAATAATAATAACAACAATAATAATAATAAATAGTAGTGACAGTTAAAACAGACAATACCATACCTTACGTCTGAATCGCAGTGGTGGCCGCTACCAGTTCTGTCCTGAAAGCTTATTTGGGGTTTCTGTTTGTTTTAATGTGGGTTGCGCGGTCAAACAGTGACGTGCTTTTTCTTCAGCCAAAAGTTTCAGACTTTAGACCACAGTTTGCAAACTTTATAACATAGTAATGAAATACACGAAAGAAACAAAGCTTTTAAGTTTGTGTGGATTCACATAAAATGAGTGTATTGTAGTGGTACATATTCAACAACAAGGAAACTATCAATGCAGTTATCCAAAATGACTTTATCTACCATTAACCAGGAGACTGGTCCAACTGAGACTATAAAGGGAAAGTTGGAATTAAAAACATATTGAATACACGTACACATTGTAGTAATTGCACACCTTTAATAGCAAATCCTCTATGGAGAAAATTAAAATGTCAATACAATTAGAGAGGCACGTCAGTTTTAGCTGGGATATTTATCATCAGAGCTGTTTGTATTTATGAGAGGCATTTTGTTATATTTTGTAACTTTGTAATATGCTGTATTATTTCACTTTGTTTAGTTAATTAATTAAGCGGAAGCGAATGGATGGATGGATGGATAGTTAATTACTGTTCTTAGAGTTTTGGAGCGACTGTAACCACATAATTTCCTCTTTGATTAACACAAGGTTTTAATTCTGATACAGATACATGTTGGTTGAACAGTCTTAAATGATAACAACCTTAATCAACTATGTCTATATTCCTTTTTACAGATTTACTCTATAACTTTATAAAGTTTTTACACATTAAGAGAATACTGACAGGGAATATTAGAGCATATTCCTCCTATATTGGCTTATCTTCATTGGTTCCCTGTTACATCCAGAATTAAATTTAAAATACCTCTCCTCACATACAAGGTCTTATGTGATCAGAGGAGGTGTGAATGGTTCAGGTGTTATTGAAGGGAAAGATCAGGAAGACTAAGGACAATTACAGGAGAAAGCTGGAGCGGAAACTCCAGCAGAACAGCATGATAGAGGCGTGGAGTGGCATGAGGACAGTTGCTGGATTCAGGTCATCCAGCAGCAGGGAGCTGGGGGTGGTGTGGACAGAGCAAATAAGCTGAACGTGTTTTTCAACAGATTTGAGATTGCAACAAATGTTCACCCCCCTAATGACTTACCTGTAGTCAGCCTGCAATCCACAGCCAAGCCACTCTCTCTCCACATTGCAACACAGCCTCCTGGTAAAGTATTGAAACCCCTCCCCAAACTGTTACTTTCACTCATGACGAGATTCAGAGACAAGTCAGAAGATGTTCTCAGGCAAGTCTGCTGGACCAGACAGGGTGACTCTCCATGTCCTCAAAGCCTGTGCCACACAACTTGTGTGGGATTTGTGTGGGACTCCAGAATCTTATGTCCTGGATTGTTTATTAGGTAGACCCAAATAAGTGCATCTTCAATATTGTCAAGGTGATCAGCAACACAGGGGGCCCGCAAGGGACCATCCTCTAACTCTTTCCTCTTCACCATCTGCACCACAGACCTCAGCCCCTACACAGAGACCACCATCTTCAGAAGTTTTCTGATGGGCGATCGTGGCTCAAGAGTTAGGAGTTCGCCTTGTAATCGGAAGGTTGCCGGTTCGAGCCCCAGCTTGGTCAGTCTCGGTCGTTGTGTCCTTGGGCAAGACACTTCACCCGTTGCCTACTGGTGGTGGTCAGAGGGCCCGGTGGCGCCAGTGTCCGGCAGCCTCGCCTCTGTCAGTACGCCCCAGGGTGGCTGTGGCTACAACGTAGCTTGCCATCACCAGTGTGTGAATGTGTGCGTGAATGGGTGGATGACTGGATATGTAAAGCGCTTTGGGGTCCTTAGGGACTAGTAAAGCGCTATATAAATACAGGCCATTTACCATTTACCATATCTGTGGCGGTTGGATGCATCCCTGGGGATGATGAAGCCAGGTACCGAGCTGTGGTTGACTCCTTTGTCATGTGGTGCCAGCAGAATCATCTGCAGCTCAATGTGAGAAAGACCAAAGAAAGGCAGGAGCCGATCACAGCTGTCTTAGGGCGAGAGGCACCAACAGAAACATGCATAATATCAAATTTACTTATGTTATTGATTTAGAATTGGGAGCGTTAAAAAATTTGAGTGTTTATTTGTGGTTATAGGGTAAAGATAATCATCTCCTTTTAATCTTTTCAGTGTGTGGTAAATAATTGAATAATTTCTTTACATTATTGAAATATAATGATACAATTAAACAAATAAAGCAAGAATTTAAGAATTAGCTTCCATGGTCCATGAATTAAATAAATGACAGACAGAAAGGAAGCACAAGCCTGCGAGCTCCAGCTTTGAGCAGTTATTCAAAAGCTTGAATTATTACAACTTGCAACCAACATGTTTTTCTAGCATATGACGAAATATTGCAATGGAAAAATCATCTACTTCAAAAGAAACCTTGGAGTAGAGGTAAAATGACATTCAGCATTACTCTCCATTCATCTTTGTGCTGGCCAGGAACCCTTAGTCTTCCTACAGCTGCTTTTTAGCATTCAGAAATATGCAGCAGGAGGAGTTAGGCTAAGAATTGGAGGTGAAGTTGCACTTCAAGGAAAGAGATCACGATTCGAATCAGTTCAGTACATGCAAATAATTATTTTAACTTATGACTTAGGTATACACGTAAGAAGCCAAGGTGACCACTGACCATTTACCTCACACATCAAAATAGTGGTTCCATTCATTTTGTATCCAGTGTTACACTCTAATGTCACTGAAGACAGGTATCCATACTGAGTTAAAAACATAATCCTCTAGAATTCTTTAAAAGTTATTTAGTAGATCCAAAAATGCTACATCCAGATGAACAGAATAAACTTTCTGAGATTTCTGGATGATATCTGGATGATTGAGCATGCATCAAAACATAAATGCTCACCAGGTCTGAATTGGCCAGTGTACCTAAATTACTCCAAAACCACATTGATGACTCATCCAGGAGGTCACAAGAGAACCCCCCCCCCCAAAAAACAAAAAACAAAAAACAAAATGTAAAGAACTGCAGGCCACAATTCACTCAATTAAGATCAGTGTTCATGATTTAACAATAGGAAACAGACTGAGCAAAAAGGGCATCTACGGAAAATAGACATTAATGCAGTTTTTAAAAATGCCCTTCTCCACAGTACGTACTAGCCCAATGTAGGCTACAGGGAAGAAAATGCAGAGCAAGCTATTGAAAATTATTAAAAACACCTACTGATACATTTTAGAGGGATCAGGCTTGAATGTTCCATGTCACTGTAAAATTAAAAAGATAGCTATCAGAGTGAAAACAAACAAGTGCGCTTTAAATCAGGGGGTGTGTACTGTCAATTCCACACCAAAATGATTTTTTTTTACAAGTGTATTGTATAACTTCTCCACAGTCACGGGATTCTTTACTTGAACTGAAAGTGTAATCGGCAACCACAACTAGTAGATTGCAAGTCGACACTGAAAACTGAAAGTTGTGTCTATTAGAACTGCAACAGACATCAAGATAAAATAAGTAATGATAAGATAATTTCTGCAGTGTCAGAGATATGAAGTCTAAAATAATCACATACCAGCTAACATAAAACGATAAAATATACAATATATGCAATTTATGTTTCATAAACACCACATATGCAGAAAGTCTAAGGATATAACTAGTGTTTTGGAAAACACACAGAGTGGGTCTGAGTATAGGATGCAGGTGCAAATGGGAGCTCACCTCACAATAGACATTCACTTTGGTATAATCACCCACTGAATCATAGACTACACGGTGAACTAACATTGGTAAACTATTTACCAATGTGCTCTAAATGATTCACGTGCACTCTAGCTTTTTATTGGTCATGCTCCAGTGTTAATGGCAGGCATACAGCTATACTCACACCCATTTATTGGGATAGGAGGGATCAGCCAGCCTACATTTGGAGATGGTCTGGCTTACAACTTTACACAACTTTACACTGGACTTCACTAAAACTTCGGAGGAAACTGGTCTCACAAAACATATACGCTATGACCATTTGGATTTTTTGCAACTTAGAAATTTATTGCAGTTACTGTTTCTGACATAAAACAGTTTTATGATTAGGAAGATTTACTCATAACTATAAAGTAAATCTACTGGACCTTTGACACTTTTATAGTGTTCTGTTCAAATAACAAATGAAGTCCCAGCCAAAAGTTTTGGCTGATGTAGACATTCACTTTTTATGCTTCATACACTTTGACATGTCAGATTTTATGATGATGATTGTGCAGGGTGATCAGAAGCAGCATATACATGAATTACAAGGAGCTTCTGGTTTAGCCTAGAAGTTGATGTCCAGAATGCCACAGAGATTTGCATTTGTTTTGATAAATGGTTGATGATCCCTGTATTTTGTATTGATGTTTTATTTATTTGTCTGTGACTATGTACAAAAAACATTAATGTCTGAAAAGAAGAGATTTATTGTACCAGATTTAGCCGATACCTACTTTCCAGCTGCAGTTCTTGAGATGGCCTTATCAATTATTCTTCAATCCCACCAGACCAAAACGGCAATGCTGGTTACTAATAGCATATTGTAAATACCCAAAGAATAAAAGTTGTTGATTTAGGACTTTAGGCCAAAATGTCCGATATTTCAAATCAATTTAAATCTGATTTTTTGGTGCTAAGGAGAGCATTTTTGTGTCTTTTTGTACATGAGTTGGTTTCCCTGTTTATTATCTGTATGTTTTTCTCTGATAGACTGGCAATCTGTCCATTGTGCAAACAACATCTGTCATGGTCCTGGGTCGAGCGACCCAGTGTTTGAGTTTTATGTATCTTTTGTATTCATTTGTGCCCTAGTTTAGTTCATCTAGTTTATTTTGAGATTGCTGTTTAGTCCTTTGTTTCTTAGTTGTTTATGTCATCTCCCCCTGTACTCAGTCTCCCTGGTTCATGCGTCATGTCTGCGTGGTTATGTTTAGTTCATGTCATGTCTAATCTTCATGTTTCCTGTTTTACTTTGAAAGTCTGTATTCAATGTCAGTGTATTTAGTTTCACTTCTCCTGTCTTGTCTTTAGGTTCATGTGTGTCAGCTGTGCTCCCATGTGTGGCCACTTCCCCTGATCATCCCTTATGTGTATTTAGTCTCTGTGTTTCATGCAGTCTGTGTCGCGTCGTCTGTGTTCTCACCCACCATGTTTGTATTCATAGTTTTCTGTGGCATCATAGTACCAGTTTCCCAGTTTAGTTATAGTTTAGTTTCGTCACTGTGCTTCTGCCTTGTTTGGCCCCCATGTCATCAGCCAAAATAAAGGCTCGCTTTTCGTTTGAACTCAGTTTCGTGTCTTCGCCTGTGTCTGCACCTGAGTCCTACACACACTCTCCACTCGGTCTGCCACTGCGGATCGTGACAACCTCTTCTCCAAAGTCAGCTTGGTTAGGAACAGAATATCATCACAATATTGTTGGATTATTGAAGGAGTACTTTGATGACCTCTTTAATCCCACTGACACTTCTTCCATAGAGGAAGCAAAGTCTCAGGACGAGGAGGACAACTCGTTCATCACTGAGGGTGAGGTCACTGAAGGAGTTAAATAACTCCTTGGTGGTAGGGCCCCTGTGGTGGATGTTATTTGCCCTGAGTTCCTGAAGGCTCTGCATGCTTTAGGGTTGTCTTGGTTGACACGCATCTACAATTTTGCTTGGAGATCAGGGGTGGTAACTCTGGATTGGCAGACCGGGGTAGTGGTTCCTATCTTTGGGAAGGGGTTGACTGGAGGGTGTGCTCCAACTATTGGGGGATCACACTCCTCAGCCTCCCCGGAAAAGTCTATGCCGGGGTGCTGGCAAGAAGAGAGTCTGTTAGTTGAACCTTGGATAAAGGATACAGCTTGTAGCCTCCAGCTTGCACTGAAGTGGTTCACAGCTGAGTGTGAAGCAGCAGGAGAGGGGAGCGGGAGATTGACTGATGGATTAGTGCTGCGGCTGCAGTGATATGGACGTGTACTGGTCTGTGGTGGTGAAGCTCTTGATTGACTGGTCTTTCTATGTCTTTACCCTCACCTATGGTCACAGATACAAGTGGCAGAAATTAGGTTTCTCTGAAAGGTGGATGATCTTAGGGGGAGAAGTTCAGCCATTCGAAGGGGCTCAGAGTAGAATTGTCAACCAGGATGCCTCCTTGTCGAGGTGTCCAGGGCATGTCCCACTGAGAGGAGGCCCCGGTATTGGTAGGTGTATTGGTACATATATTGTATATTACCAAGGTATATGTACCAAAATACCTATATTGCATATAGGTATATTGGTACATCTTTAAGAGAGAAATCAAATACCCAAGTAGTATCACTGCTAAAAATGAAATATATAAAATACAGAGAGATTTTATAATGTCTGAAATGAAAAGTTTTATTATTTTAACATTAAGTGTAACGAAATCAACTACAGTACAACGTGAGTAGTAATTAACCTGGAATTTTCTGACACTTTCTCTGAGAATGGAAACAAAATAGTATCAGTCAAGACCCAGTAAACTAAATATTTGGACAACTGTATGCTACAGTTCATATACATCACTAATTCAAGGGTAATATTGCTGAATTCTACCTTATAGTTTAGTCTGTTTCTAGTGTTGAGCCAGCAGCACTAGAATTTTAATCAACCTGATATGACATATTTTAATGCCCTACAACGCCCAAGTACTGACACATTGTTGTGATACTGATTTCACAATAAGTGGGTGAGGTATTTGCATTTCTTCATAACCTGTAACAGCAATAAACCATTTATCATATAAAACTTCCAGACTCCACAATTTAAGTATAATTAATGTCACTAATACAAAAACAGCAAAAGTACATGGTAGTCAATGACTGTTTTACTGCAAATTTATTTATATATTTTTATAATCATCAGTCTAATTCATGTGGAAATTCAAGGACCTGAAACACACCTTTTTAATAATCTTGGGCTACATTCTTAGTCATCATCATCATTATTAAAACAATCCTCTTGATTGGCTCTCTTATGACTCTCCATATATCTGCATAGTGGACTAACATGACTAGGTCTGAGTCAGGAATGCCGCAAAGGAGATATGTCCACTTAGAGGTAAATAAAAGTTAAATACCTGGTACTCTCCATCAGTTTATAGAAGTGAAGAGGGCCTTAGATAGACGGTAAAATGTCTGAAGTTTGTTTACATTTATTTCCACTACCTAAGACAATACCATAAGTCCTTTTATTTTCATTGATCGTGATAATCATCATTAGCTGCCTTCTGAAAAGCTTTGTTGGTTTTAATGTCAATATTTTGTATAACTAATGTATACAAAATTGTGTAACTACTATATGAAAAGTTGATCTGATAAAGCAATCAGCAATCATAATTAAAACTGTTATTTCAATGGTCTTGTAGACTCTTCCAAACTCTAGTATTTCAAATAAATAACAGACCACTTTGGTCAGTATTGCATGAGTCATTCTGCAGTCTGACATGTTATGCCCTACCCTCTTCACAAACAGGCCCACATGATCGAAGAACTTTGGCCAACAATTAAGCCACAAAGCTGCTATCTCAGAGGCATCATTCTAACTTCCACAGAACTACCACAGTAAAATTCAGGTCACTGACACGCATGGTAAATTCGCCTGCAATGAATATTTTTCTTCTGGTTGACATATTTTTTGTATCTTCTTCTTGTGCATTTAACAGCTGTGCAAATGATTATCAACAAGGCCAGAAAAGAACTCCAACGCAGTAATATGTACCACAGTGGCAGTCCCGTCAATGATCTAGAAAAGAAAAGGGGAGTAGGGCAGGTTTTCAGACCGCATCTTATGGTGAAATTTCAACAAATTTAAATTCTCTTTTCAGCCTTTAGTGATTCTTCCATAAAGTAAAAAGTAGCATATTGACTAACCTGATGAAAAAAAAGCCTTGAGTGGTTTCATTCAGTTGTAAAGATTGATTTCTTGTGTTATTATCACTGATGTTCATAATAACTAGGCAGGAGGTCAGAGTTGGTGTTGTGACTGTGGTTGTGCTCATTCTGTCTGCACAGTCATAAATTGGTTGACCTGGTAATGAAAAAGAAAAGATTACAATGATAATGCTTTATAGACCTTGAGGATGAAGCTTTTACAGCATTGTAAAAACAAGAGAGAAGAAAACAGACGTTGTTGTTTAGAATATTTCATTGTAATTTTAAACTCTTTCTTTTATGTTTATTGTCTTTTTATGCTTAGAATATAATACTAATGACCTGATTTTTGTTAATAAAAAAATAGAATGACCCTAAGGAAAATTTGTACATAAAGGGTTTGTACATACGGTCATATCTGTTATAACCTCTAGGAGTCACTGAAGTCAAAACTTACACACGATGTCTTTAATCCTTTCTTCCAAGCAATAGTTTACTATACTACACACACGCAGACATGCACGCATGCATGCACAAGTTGCATAAAAACAATTATTAAATGCCATTTTAATTTCATCATAAATTTTTGGCTTTAAAGTGTCACAAATGCACAAATAGTCTATTTTTTGCCACTAATATATGAGGCTATGAATATTGTAATCTTTTTCATGGGACATTTATGAATGGTGTAAATCATAGGTGTCAAACTCTGGCCCGCGGGCCAAATTTGGCCCGCAGCCTAATTTAATTTGGCCCGCAAAGCCATACCAAATTATTATTAGAGCTGGCCAACTGGTATTATACAGCTAATATATATATTGTTTAGTATTAAGCTTTGCTTGTTCCATATTCAGTTTTTCAGCAAAACTTGTTTGAGTCCATAAGAAGAGATTCATTCTTAAATCTGGAGGAAGATTTTTTTTCAATAAATATTAACGTTAGCCCGCGACTTTGTTCCAGTTTTGAATTTTGGCCCACTGTGTATTTGAGTTTGACACCCCTGCATGGTGTAAATCATCTACGCTACGCTGACTACGCTATTAAACTTAAACTAAATATTTTAAGTTTAAATTAATGTCTTAATGTTGAAAAAATCTCATTCTAAATTAAAAAAACAAACTAACTAAATAAATTATCACTATGGGAACAGAACCACGTCCATGCTCAAACATTACAACAGAACACTTGCCATGTTTTAAAATGAAATATAGTAATTGACTTGTTGTTTTAGTCATTGTATATTGTCAGTAAATATAAATAGTTGTTATAAAAATGCTGCATGTTTTTTTTGGGTTTTTTTGGTTTTTTACATTTTTTACATTTGTTCTAAAAGCATTTTATTAATCAGTAAATCACTGTAAAGACAGTTCTCACATTTATATTTGCACAATGGAATATTACATTTGTTCTTACCCTGAATATTAACAACATAGATACAGCTGCTGTTTGCAGGCATCAGAACCTGCACAGAGATGAGCTCACTCTTCTCACTGCTTATGTCATTACTGCCAATACAGAAATAGCTACAGTCCTTTTGAACTGCGCCACAGTGAAGATACAAGTCTGAAGACTTATGGAGCAGGAAGTCCTTTCTGTCAATGTGCTGATACCAGGCATAACGAACACCAGTGCCCTTTGCACAACCACAGCGTAAGGTAACTGACTTCCCCCAACATGTTGGCCTGTCCACCAGAGAGCTCAGGGGCCAAAGTCGGGGCTTGGACACTGGAACTGACACAAAAAAAGAAATGTCAGTCCAGTCAGCTTAACACCAAACAGAGGCTGTGATGCAGCATATTTCACTGTTATTGTAAAATAATGTTTTTTTTCTAAGTTGCATAACGTCTTTTATTCTTACCTTCAGTGATAATCACTTTGACTTGGGTCATGATGTCAGCATATATCTTATCAATCCCAACCCAGTACGCTCCAGCGTCATCAAATCGGAGATTTGTGACTTTCACAAACAGCCCCCTTCTGTTTAAATCTATCACTTGGGACCTGTGTGTTTTTCGACTGTTTTCTGAGTCTGCCACAATCTCACAATTGCTTCTGGAGGGCCCTCTGCACCAATACTTTTTGCTGTACAGAAAATGATTTATGCCATACTTGCATTTAAGGATAAATTCACCTCCAACATGGGCTGTGATCTCTTTATCACATTCAAGCTGAAGACTTGCTGAAATACAAGGCAGACAGAAAGAAAATCCTTGTAGTCTGGTAAATCATAAAAATGTTATTCAGTTTTTAATTCGAATTAATATGAGTTTGCAGTTTACCTTCAAATTTTGATTGTCAGATAGCACAAATGCTAGAATAATTGTCACTAAAAGCCCGAGAAAAAAACACAAGCAAAAAAACCACCTCATGAGTACTTGAGAGATGGGGGTAGGTGTTGTCAAACATCCTGTGTGCATTTACAACACTTTTCTTTCATTTAACAGTATGTAAAGTAAATATATATATATATATATGTTTCTATTCCACCTTTCACGAAAAATGTTTCCCAAAAAATAGTTAACGTGTTAATTGAATTTAAGGCTTAAAGAAAAAAACATGTTAATTTAAACATGGTTTTCTTCGTAAATAAATATTTCAATAAGGAGTACATTCAAGAATTTTTATAGGCTTGTATGTTTTAATTATAATTTTAAATCTTAAAGAATTTCAGGATATGAAAGTGAAGAGGCATTTATTTTTCACATAACAAAAAAATTATGACGGATTTATATATGAAATAGTAAGTTTACTGTGACTGAAAAATATTGATATGAAATCAGAGTTTTTATCTATGATGCTAGAATAAGCTGTGATTTTACAGTTTAAAGTCACAAAGAACGGAAGTGGAAAAAATTACAAAAATAGAGCCTGGGAGAGAGAAAATAAACAATGATGATTAAGGTGCTGAAAGGATTTAGCTTAGTAAGTTCTTTCATAGAATGTTTAAATTATAGTTCACTCACCTTGAAAAAGCAAAACGAGGTAAAATATCTTCATACTGATGTCAGGTTTGGAATCAACTCGACAATCAGGAAACTGTAGAGGTGGACTGTGGTGATCTTAGCTTCCTGTAGGTGCGTTGTGGGTTACATAAATGCTTTTGCGTCTATGCTAGGCCTTGAACACGAGTGTAACATGCAGCAATACTAACTAGTGACACAGAAGTGAAAGAGTGGGAACCCTCCCCACATAAGAGCTGCACTTCACTTTACCTGGTAAGAAATTCCCATTTCTTTAATCTAGTTAATCATCGTTTATCGGACACTGCTGTTGATTATTACGAGCAGCATGAAATACATTTGCACAGCAGATGCTTGATTCTTTATGACTGGAAAAAACATGGCAAAAATCTTCGTTTAACCTTTTGTTATTCGCTAGTCTGTCTTGGATGCTTTGATATTATCCAGTTATATTTTCCCGATATATACTGTAAACCGGTGACTAATGTAACATTCAGTTGAGTGTCAGAATGTCTCCATTAGTTTACTACAAAGCCACTAGATGTCACTATTCGACTGATGTGGCGCTCAGCACCTGCTAAATGTAGCAATGTCCTGTCAGAACTTCTTCGTGATGCCACCCCGGATAAAAGCATTAGTTGAAGGTTGACTGACAAACGAGGCAACATCCACGCCCGGGAGCACTTTGGTAAGTAATGCATTTTTTCATTTGTATTTTTTAAGCCACACTCTTTTCAACGCTGAGCTTTTATGTATATTTAAGAAAGGGAAGTCTTTAACGGGTGAGTTATTGCCCGTGGTTCCTGAAAACATAGCTCCTCCCACTACTCTTTTTATGCACACATTGTGAATTTAAAAGTATTGTTGCTTAACCACTAAACAAATTGCATGAATTTGTGCTAGCTGAGATTCACAAGATTTTTTTTATCATCCTGTCTCACTTCAATTACAAAAATGTCTGCTGTACAGTAAGGTAGGTACATGAAGACTTCCCAAAGCTCTGAGTGGATTACTGCTGAGCAACTAAGGGTGATTATCTTTGACACTTGCGCTCCCTCTTTCTTCTGTCTTCGGCTCTATCCCTACATGCGTTTCTCCTCCACTTGGCTTGTGTATTTAAAATATTGTACAACTGACTAGACTGCTTTTGATTAAGATCACCTGTTTTGACTGTTTATGTGCATAAATATATGTTTGTTTTCCCCTACCATCCCCTTTGCTACATATTTATGCAATAGAACACCCGGGTGACTTTAGGACCCTGTGAGAGAAACCCACAGGGGGCGCGGCAATATTTTTAATCTGACCACAGAACCTGTTAGCTTCCTCTTACATTCTGTAAGACAGTTTAGAAGTTCCCTTACACCAGTTCCTTCATGTGAGAGCTACAATACAGAAGTGCTCTGTAGCGGAGCAACGTAACAGCCTCAGTCCTGTCCCCAAGCTTAGCAAGCCTATCCATGACCTGTGGACAAGGACCTTTGTGCCATGAAATGCCTATGAAAACTGCCCTATCCCACACAGTGAAGATCCAGCTATGGACCAGCAGGTCAGGATTCTGAGAAGCTTCCTGGATGACCTGGAAAGACAGGAGGCTGCGGCTGAGGAGACACCTAACGGCATTGCTGGGGAGTTTGTGGTGAGTTAACAGTAATGTTCCTCTTGTTTAAGTACAGCTAAAAATTCTCAACCCAGAAGACATGCTGTATTTCTCGATGGTTTTCACATTCACACGCTAAAAAAAGGTGTATTTTTATATTGACAGTCAGCACGGCGAAACTGAAAGTTCTTAGTCTTCCCGATTTTTAGGTTTTTTTACAAAAGACATCACACTGAGGGAAGTACCACACTGGTATTTTTCGGAGGGTTCCAACGCCATTTTCATTCTTCCTCTTTGTATTGATGCTTGTCACTAAAGGCACAACAAGGAAGAAGTGTAAGCAAAAGTCCTGTAACACGACTGACGACTAGCAGCAACAACAACCACGCACACACACACACACACACACGCACACACACAGAGAAACACACTCACGCAAACATACTAAATTGTGCCTGAGAAGTGTTAACCCCAGGGTGACATCATCTGTGGGCTGCTGCCATGGTGATGAGTGACATGGCAGTGCCTGAAGACAGCACTGTGTGCTTCACATGCTGCCCCTCTGCTGTCATACTGGTGCCACCCCAACCACTCCAGAGGAAAGAGTCCATTGCATCACTTCCTCTGAGGACAAAAAGCACTTTGTAGTGTTAGAGAAGTGCAGATGTATTTCAAGTCCTTTAGCAGACTCTTTTAGATCTGCCTCAACTGGCCTCAGAACAAAAAGACCAATGTCTCAACAAGTCTTGCAAGCACAAACATGAGTTTAACTTGAGAGTCCGAGCTTCCGCTTAGGTGATTTAGAATCGAGGTCCTCTCAGTTTGTCAGCCATCATGTCAGTTTGAGCTCGAATGAGTCACAGATTCTTCGTCTGAGGCTGAATCACATAAAAACTGACCACATGTGACAATGTGCCATTGGTCACATGTAATTTGCTGGTTACATGTCCACTTTTTATTCACTCTCCTGTATCAGTTGCTAATGACCTTAAAGCATCTGCACTATGAAAAACAAGCTTTTCCAGTAAATGCACAGGAAACACTACCATGAAACTCATATTACCCATCTGCTGTTTTGGCTAATTAAATATAATTTAGACGCATTTACATGATACCTGTAGCTTGGAGGTTGTTTCAGTATGACACATCAGCAAAACATGACAAAAATAGCTCTTTGGCATTTAGATAGCGTCTAGGAACTATGATGAAAAGTCTTTATGAATGCAACGCATTTACATTTCTTTTTGTGTTTTTCAGAGGTTGAAAAGTCAGTCAACAAAGTACCGAACGGATAAGACGTATCCTAGCAAAACAGCAGAAAAGCAGGAAAACATCAAGAAGAACCGATACAAGGACATTCTGCCCTGTAAGCTTGTTTAAATGTATAAAAATACAACAGTTTTACAGTTTTCTGCATTAACACTGTAAAGGAATACTTCTAGATTACCTATAGTGTTGTGCCAGTGACCAAAAAAACCCATATAAACAGTATGTAATGCTCCATCAACATATCTACTTAAGTTTCTTATATTTATTTAAATTAGACAAGGTAGACTAGATCCTAGGAAAAGCTTACAAACATTAACATATTTTATTATATTTTCATCTTTATTTTATTCTAATTCTGTTCATTTCTTTTGCCACAAGGTGAGAACGTAAGCACACTCGTAATGTTTTTAGGTTTTCCAACATTCATAACTACATATTTTTCTTTTTGTAGTTGACCACACCAGAGTAAAGCTTACTCTTGTCACATCAAAAAATGACACAGACTACATCAACGCCAGTTTCCTCAAGGTAAAGAACAAGGTCCCTTTTAGCTTATATCCACTGATGGCTCAGCTTCTACACATTTCATTGACAAACGTCATTAGGCTGCTTTAGCCTGGCCACAGTGGATTGGCCACTTTACAAACCAACTGTACCCCAGCTTCTCTTTTTTATGCTGTTCGAAGCTTTTTAACATTATCTGTGGTTGCACTGATCTCTGCTACATTCTGAGCCAGAGTCTTGCTGCTGCTCTCTCTGCCAATATCTGTGAGTGGAAGGCTAGGGAGGTATATGCTGCCAAATAGTTGCTGCATTAGAGATAACAGGTTTCTTTTGGCCACGGGGGTCCCGACTGAAATATGGTTTGTGCAAATGTAACTACTGTGTTTTGTGTGCAGGGAGTATCAAACTCCAGGGCTTACATTGCTACTCAGGGTCCTCTGCCCCACACAGTAGTGGACTTCTTGAGGATGCTTTGGGAATACAAGATAGAGGTAAGGTCTACACCACAAGGTGCATTTAAGATAGCACAACTTGCTTCATTTCTTCAGTTGAAAATTAAATTAAGATTAAAAGAGCTGTGACTTTGGCCAGAGTAGCTGAAATACAGATCCCCATCCCAGTTCACATATCTTTTAAAAATGTTTTATTTATTTATTTTTAGATCTATGATTTTTTTTTTTTTACACATCTTCATGATTCTAGGTTGTTGTGATGGCCTGTCGAGAGTTTGAGATGGGAAAGGTAAACTTCTCTCTGCTTTCCACTTTCTTTCTCACCATACAGAATTTTCTCTATATTTGTATGTTTATACACCAGCATGGTGTCAGTTTGTTAACTATTATCGTTTGATGTATTGTTTAAATTGAAAGTACTTTTGTTACACTTGTATGATTTGATTTTTTTTTTTTGTTTAGAAAAAGTGTGAGGTTTACTGGCCACAGAAACACGAGGAGCCGTTCGTTTGTGAGCCTTTTAAAGTTTACTGTGTGAGTACTTTTTGTTCTCTATTCATATTTTCAAGATGAGTAGGTTAATGGATCTGATGCAAAAACTTATACTGAATATATACTATAGTATTTGCTATACTGAATATATTTAACTACTTTACAAAACAAAAACTGGCTGCTCAACATTGGATTTTCTCTAATCCACACAGGGTCAACATTATTCATACGGTCTCAAATACATACAACTAATATTTGGATAAATGTCCCTTAGCAAGTCGCGCCTCACCCAGATTTGCTTTGCTTTTTGTAGCTTGGCATAACTCTGGTTGGATATTTGACCACTCTTCTTGACGGAGTTGGTAGAGTTGATTTAAATTGGTTGGTTTCTTAGCATAGCTTATAACCACACTCCACAAATTAGATATCATTAAATTTAAAAACCCTCAGCTTTTGTCATTGTGGCCAAATGGCTTAACCTTTGTCTTGTCTGACCATAAAACTTCTAAGCCAAAGGCCTTTGGTTTGTTTATTTGGGCACCTGTAAATTTCACTTGAGATTTAAGGGGTCAATTTTAGAGCAGGGCTTTTTTCTTGGTGAGCAGCCTCTCAGTCCATGGCGACGTAAAACTCGGTTCGTTACAATTTTAAAAAAGACTTTCCCATTTTGTGTAAATCTACAGGTCTCCATAGATTTTCACTGTACCTTCGCATTGTTCTGAGCATTGTTCAAGCCAACCAGTGCTGTCAATCCAATTCTTTTTATGCTAAAGGATTTTTTGACTTTTTATGTATAAATTT